CAGCTATTTCGGAAACAGAACATTCTTTAACAGAATCATTAGACTCTGTTTCTGAATTACCTAATACTGTAGGACAACAATTACAACATTTAGTAAAATCTAGACCACGTAGAACAAAGACTAGAGCACCTACAAGACCAATGTTGAGACCTGATCAGCCAGTAGATGGTCTTGCTCTTGGCGAAGGCCTCGATGTATTTTTCAGACCAACTACACCGACAACACCTCTTATATCTCCTACAAGTGATGATAGGTAAGTGATGATATTCAAAACTATATCAACTTTAAGAGAAACAGAAATTATGTAAATTAATTTACCTTTATTTTGCTGTAGCTCTTTGCATACTTTTCCAACTGATGGTAGTCCAAATTTATCTCTTACAAGTCACAAAAGTATTCCACCTGAGATGGATAAAAAACCTGGTTGTAGTTCGCCAATGTTAAAAACACTTCTTGAGCCTGCACCGCGATCACGATCTAGTGATAATTTAGAAAAATTTTCCCCTCTTGTTGGCAGAAGGTCTCAAGGTGATTCACCGTTAACTGCATCTCCATTAACTCGACGAAATACAACAGACAATGCACAAAATCATGAAAGAAATGTTACAAAATCTGATAATAGTAAAGATACAAGTAACAACGTATGCAATAATTGTGTCAGTAATACTGCTGATACATCAAAACGTAGTACACTACCTATTATTGGTTCTGGTACAAGTACACGCAGTTTGCGAGATTCGGATGAAAATAATAAAATGTTGCAACAGCAAACTGTTATAAATTCCTCAGATAAAGATGTAGTGACTGTTCCTAAGGATTACGAAAACAAAAAAAGTTTAACTAAAAGATCTGCGGTAGATACAGATAAGACTGCAAATCAATCCTTGCCTTCTCTTAAATTAAGATCGACAGGTTTTGATCTTCGTAGTCCAACAAACGGTAGCAGTACAAAAACTAATTCGGAAGCATCGAAATCTCCAGTATTAAGGTCTTTAACCAAAGGAAATAGTTCAATTACAGATGGAAAAAACAATGGTGCTCTTTCCAAGACTAAACCTGTTCCACCGGTAACAGCTCCGAAACCGAGACCTTGGAGTATGGCTACTGATAGAAAATCCGGTATGGGAAAAGAATCAAATTATTTAACAATAAAATTTTGGCTTACGTTATATTATATATTTATATTACATGCTTAATGTTTTAGGAGAATTTAATTTATTAAGCGATGGTTCTAGTCCAAATACTTCAGCTGGAAATACACCTGATTCTGGAGATGCACTTGATGAATCAACAGATAGTGGTGTAAGTGGTCCTGCTTCCTTACCGCCGACGTTGTCAGCAAGTAGTACTGCTAGTTCTTTAAGCAACGCAAGCGTAGAGAAAAGATCAGTCAGGGAACTGGCAGCTAGTTTAAACAAAAGTAAAACGGAAAGGAAAGAGAATGGTGAGAGCCAAAAATATATTTTTCTATTGCATGTCATTGTATATAGTAACATCATAGACATCATTCACGATTCACGCATAGTTTTTAATTAAATATCAATTCCTGGTTAATTCCAAGTATTTATTGTAAATATGCATGTTAAACCCTTTAATTAAGAAGCCTTGCTGTATATATTATTTTAGAGCATACCGCACCTGCAGCATGGAGGTCGGTGCTTCAACGTTCTATCAACCAACCAGATGTCAAGGTACCTTATGTAACGTCCGTTTTTTTTTCTTTTTTTTTTTTCTTTTTTAAATCACTCAATATAATTTTTAATAAGAATGCAATGTCCTAAGTCCTTTTGTCTTGTTTTGTGCTTGAAATCCATTAATGTAAATTTCTATTTTTACTCTCTTTTAAAACAGTTTCTGTGTCTTAGCATTACACAAAGATATTTTTAAAATATTATAAAGATACCTTGAAGTATTATTTTGGGTGAGACAATGTTATATATATAATTGTTATATTTTTAGGTAACGGAAGTGCCGAAAACGGTTGAAGAAAATCGTATAAGTTTTAAACTCCGACGTACTTCATTTTTACGTGATTCAAATTTCAATTACAATAACGACGTAGTTGACGTTTGATCGTGACTTAATGCAGTAATAATTTATAAATTAATGTCAATGACTGGATACTTATTAAGATATCTTTCATCGAAATATTTTATATTGGGTACAAAAATATACAATTTGACATGTCTGTATTTGTGCCATATAAAGTCAAATGCAAAAGCAAGTGCTAACACAATATTTAAGGAAAGGGTACTGGGGGTCTCTATAGAAAGTACCAATTTATTATTAAGGTGGCATTAAAAATTTTATAGTTTTTTATGAAACTGTAATTTTAATGCAGTTTATTTTAATTTAGGAATAAGTATTTTGTATTTAATATACTAAAATCATTTAATATTTTCAATGCAATAAGTTAAAACACTTACTTCCATAAAAAACGCATTAAATGCTTCTACATTCCTCCAGATTTTTAAAAAGAGGTCTGTTTGATATTGTCAATGATATTATTTGGAAGATAAACGATGTTATGTTTGTTTTAACATTTAAATATTTATATATTGTTTGTCTGTATATTTAAACTGATAGAATCTAATATAGGTCATAAACTATATGATTTTAATTAATTTAAATGTATGCTAATCTGTTACCAAAAAACAAAACACAATATATTTTTAGCAACATTAAACAATATTTCTTCCTATTATTTAATCAAAGTCGGGATGTCTTCCGAAGTTAATTTTTGTAATTTCATGATAGTTATTTTGATTTGTTTCTTAACCAACCAGTTGTAACAGACCTGTGATTACTAAAAGATACGATTCCATTTTAATTGATTATTGTTTATAATTTTTTATATTTGTTTTCATACAATTTTTATTAAATTATGTTACATTTTATTTAACATCTTAAATACAATTGGAATTGATAAGTGCACAAAGCAAATACCAAGTATCATAAAATGTATGAAGCGTGCCATATAACATAACGTAAAATAATAAATGCTTTGTTTTCCACGTAACAAGGACAAAGTTGAAAGATTTTTATATAAAAGATACGATATTATCAATGACTTATCATTGATTTAAAAAAAAAATTAGTAACAAAATACATAAACATTATATAATGCATATATAACATATACGATACGTAAATTAAAAAAAAAAACTAAACTAAACTTTCAATTAAATTAATTAGAAGAAAGATATTGCAGACTATTATTATATTTCAAGAATTTTTTTGCAATATTTGTAAGCTGTATTTGCTATTTTATACCTTGTTAAAGATGTATTATAATTAAGAATAATTTAGTAAAGACTTTCTGCTATGTGCATTTTCCTATAAAGGAGCAGCTTTTTTACAAACAATTTTTTTATATGATATAAAAATATATTGCAAAATACATAACGTAAAATTCAATTTACATAAGTATATTAAAAACTAGTTTTTGAATAGTAAACAACTTCTGTACATATACGTGTAAAAAAAGTTACACATAGATAAATTAGTCATTATTACAGTTGCAGTTCTTATAGATAAATAATATATTTGAACATCTATTTGATATTGTTTATGTATTAATAACTGTGACTAACAAAATATGTAAATCCTTTTGGATACAAATATTTAGCAACATATGTCATATAACAATGTTAGATGGTAAATTGAAAATATTCTTTCTAAATATAATAATTAAACCATTTGTGAAATGTGATTGTTATATTTTAACAAACACATTCAACATTCATCTTTACATTTAAAATCATAAATATTACATAGATTGAACACCAAATCATAAAATTAAAGCCTTTCTTTTTATTAGGCGATTATTTATTTTAAATCTAGCGCGATGCAGATTGAATTTATAATTTGTCAAATTATACATTTTGTTAAATCAATATGAGATTTTCAAATAATGTAAACAAATCAGTATCTTGAACGGTAGCTAATCATAATGTTACTTAATAATTTTATTTGCTATTCGCCGACAGAATTGTAATTTAATTATTTCCATAATAAATATAATATTTGTAAACATGTACGTATGTACTTGTAGTTTTGCATAAGTGCAAACTAATTAACAATTTGTATACATATTACATTGCAGGTGATTTTTAAGGCATAAAAATACATATAAATTAATTGTATATTTATGACAGAAAAATATTGCATTGGGTTCTATACGAACGTCACGTAAGATTTAAAATTTAAATAACTGTGCCAAAAACGGAATCATTTTGTATGTATAATTGTTAAAATTTGTTTAATTTGTTTTACTCCTTTACTCTTTGAAGTTCAAAATATAATTACATTGTATTAGTTGTCACTACCAAAGATCACCTGTAATAAATCATACTTTAGTGTGTAAATATATTAAATATAATTACGGTATGTATGTATTAATGAATGAGTGATATAATCACGCGATCATACGATGCGCGCAGAGAAAATCAGACAGCACGTATAGGCATTCTTTCTTCATTACATTCCCGTATTTATATTTACATATGTACGTATACATATGTTGCAATGAAGCACGTTTTAAAATCTGCTATTAATTTTATTATATATATGTATTATCATCCAATAAATATCAGTATTTGCAGATTTCGATACGTTGCTCATTAACCATGCAATATAATTTACTAGTAAATAAAAACTATTACATATGCAGTGTCCAGTGTTTTGCTTATTTTATACATTAGTAATTTCATGTACTTAAATAGACTTTGTTGCCAAAATGGAAAGATTGGAAAGATAGATTTTTATAATAAAATCAAAAACAACATTTATCGACATACGAAATCTTGCTGAATAATTTTATAGCAATATAACATAATATTAAAATTTAAATTAAATATATAAAATATATATATTAGCAAAGTTGAACCAATAATTTATTTTGTAAATGTATCGTTACTCGTAACGTTTTTGGAATATTGAACACCGAATTACTAAAATATGGCATACGTAATATGTATTTATTAAGTCGAAAAATATAAAACACATCAAATACAATAAAATTAGTGCGCGTGCGTGGAAATTGCATGAAATCTAGCACACTGGCACATTTCCATAACCCAAGAAATGGAAGTATAATAGCAGAAGGTTTAAGGAAATAAAGTGTGTGGAATCTGTTCTACATAGGAGATGTTAATGAGCTTTTTTACATGTTTTATATTATTAAGTTGAGAAGGTGTAGAAATGTCACGTTCAAAATCTGAAAAGATTGGAAATGGTGGTAAATGCGAACTAAGTGTATGGACACGTGCGATAACAGCGAACTCCGAATGGCCAGATAAAGTAAACATAACCATATTTCACTTAACCCGGGATTACCCACCTGGAGGTCTAGTGCAGGTACATCCCGGCACTAGATCCCCACGTGGGTAATCCCGGGTTAAGTATGCTCTCTATTTTTTACCCTATGATCTCGCTCATAAGTTTCGATGATTTATTATAGGAAGAATTTCTTGATGTTATATACTGGGCCAGACAAGCAATTGGTATTATAGTTGGTATAGGATGGGGTCTTATACCTTTAAAAGGTTTCATAGCTCTACTATTGTAAGTTAAAATATAATACTACTATAAGTAAGTTGCAATACATAAAATCGCGAAATTATAATTATATATTTTAAGTTTGTGATTTGATGTTTCAGATTTGTATTAGTTAACGCAGGTGTCACGTATCTGTATTTTAGCAACTTTCAACAAATTGATGAGGAAGAATTTGGTGGTATATGGGAATTAACTAAAGAAGGTTTCATGACATCATTTGCTGGTTTTCTGGTAATTTAAAGTTATCTAATATTATTTGTTTTATTGTATTTATCTTATAAGGTTATAATAAAATTTTTCTTCGTAGGTCACTTGGATCATTATATATTCAGGGTTACATTTTGATTGATTAGTTTCTGTGTAAGTGATGATTTTACTGATAAGAACATAAATATGTATAATATTTTCCAAAAATCAAGTGCGTATATGCAATTGACCTCATAAGAATTTTTGTCAAGAGCAATTATTTTTCACAGTTCATATGAGCTTTAGACTTGTAGCACAATAAATACATAAGAATTACTTGGACAATTTGTTATATAGAATTAAATATTATAACATAAAAATATATCTATCAAAAAATTCCTTTCTTTTTGCATAGAAATGTATGCATTATATTTAAAGGCCAATTATTTATTACCAGAGACAATGTTTTTAAATACTAATTATAAAATATTTTTATTTTAAACTTAATTTCTTTATTACATATCATTGATAGTAAGTACTCTAAATCGCGCTATGAAAACATACATGTTGCATATGCCAAATCAGAATATATATATGTGCAGATAATTAATATAAATAAACATTTTAAATGACTATATTGCTCAATACTTGATCAGACTTAATACTTAATGGATATATAGTGAAATTTTTATACTGGTATTATTTCCACTATCTAAATATATTATATATTAACAGCCTTAGCTTTTGCCTTAACAAGTACAAGGCAAAAATATAAAAAAAATAGATTTGGAATATTAATGTAGTTCTGTATACATTAAATTTTACTGATAAAAATTTATTTGAACTTTTTTCAAAAAAGTAATAGTGATTGAAAAAAAATTTTGCCACAGAAAATTACTAGTATTTAAGTAAAAATAATCTGGATGAAAAAACTAATCAACGTACAATTTTAAAATCATAGATATCGACTAAAATAGTAGAGTTCAAACTTGTAACATGTAAGCTTATATAAGGTTTATTTAAGGTATATTTAACATGTATAAATTATGGAAAATATGGTAATAAAATGTGTTTAATATATTCATAAAAAATGTATCGAAGTCAACCGATCATTAATCGTTTTCGCCCTCGTAATTGTACTTCTTTATATTTAGAAACAATTTCTTTACATTGACTTTTATTTGCGTAATGTTTCTGATAAGTATCAAATATCTTTGAAAACAAAAGAGGTATTTCTGAATGTGCACTTAGTAATGATCGTTCAAGAACGTACAAATCGACTGCTTTGTCTTCTACGCTTGATTCTATACGAGCTAATCCAAAATCTATTATAACAAAATTGTTCGCAGCTACAAGAAAAAATGAAAAAATAAATATTACGTTATTAAAAAAGTAATATTAATTGATATCATAATGGTATACCATTTTCATATTTTTTAATGTGATCGTCATCAATATTTTTCAAAAGTACATTCGAAGTAGTCAAGTCTCCGTGAATTATGTTCTTCAAATGTAATTTCGCAATTATTGTTCCTAGTCCTTGTGCTATAAAATTTAATAAACGATCGTCATTTATTTCTTTTGAAACTTTTTTATCGATAAACTCTTTTAGTATTATTGCGTCTTCTATATATTCCATATAAATACATCGTCGTTCCAAATTTGCCAAATATATAGCTGGTGTTGCGATTCCTTAAAAAAAAAAAAAAAAGAAGAAATTAACTTATTCTTAGAAAAAGAACAAGAAATTATTATTTTACCTGCGGCTTTAGCACGAATTATAGCACGACATTCAGCCTTTATACGATCTTTCGTAAGACGCTTATCTAAATCTGCATGTCTGTATTTTTTTTCAAATCTCTCTTTGATTAACGTTGATTTTCCTAAATAAATACCTTTATATACGCGTGCTTCGGCGCCTTGTGCTATTAATTCGAAATCATTCATTTTGCTCAATATCTAAAATATATATCCCAAAATATAGATTTCGCATACGTGTATCTTTTACGCTATTTACATAATTTTTTTTTTTTTTGTTATATGAGTTACTTTATTAAATTTAAAAAAAAATAATATATAGTTGCGTTGAAATTTACTTCTAATAATGACTCGTATAATTTGAAGAATAGATTACGTTACAGAAATTATATTTTTCGTGTGTAATAAAATGCTTGAACGGCAAGTTACTATTTGTGAAAAGGGAAAGATAAAGTTATTCGCGCTAGCAAGGGCAAGATGAGGGCGAAATGTGAATCGATCGTTACCCGAGAGCGTCCTGCGCGCTAATCGCTATCCCAGCGCTAGTATTCGCCTGTACTTTGTTCCTATCGGATTGACAAGCTAATACTGTGTTTTCTTGCCTTGTTCAAATTACACAGAAAACGCTTTTTCATTTAACTGGCAAAAATGAGGGACGAAGTGAAAATGGACGCGAATCGGCTAATCGCCGAAGTCTATAAGCGGCCAGCGCTTTGGAATCAAAGGCATATCTCTTATCACAATCGCGAGGTGACGAACCGCGTTTGGATGGAGATTGCATCGATATTCAAGTTGCCCAGTAGGTGCATTGATGAAATCGTTTTTCAATCGTATGTCATTCGCGCGCGCATTTTTACCATTCGTTCTAACTGTCAAAATTTACTCATTTCCAGCATAGTACAATCATTCTGAATGTGAACTGTTAACATCGTTGATACAATAAAACAATTATCAAATCATTTGTTCTTATGTCTGAAAATGTTTTTTGTTATAATCATTATAAATTTAAATAACTAATTTGAACTTTTTAAGAGCGTCGAACTGATAGCACAAAGTTTTACTCGTAATTATTTACATGGTTATGTTATTTTTCATGATTGTCTTATTATTTCTTGAAAAACATGTATATAATTGTTTATATATATATGCTAATGTACTCGCTAATACGAATCGCTGTTCAGTTAACCTCACTTTTTTACAGGTTGACATTACCAAATATATCATACTTTAAATCAATTTGCATGTTCACTATTTAATATATGAATCTTACAGTCACAAAAAATTGCCATTAATAACCATCAATAACTTACAATTTATTGTTGTTTACAGTATTAAAGCTCGGAAAGATTTAAATTGCAGGTGCAAACTTGTTACGTGAAGACGCATGCGTATAAGCAGTCAATATTTCGATCATCGTACTTATGAATTACTTCCGTTATATTTATGATTTTCATCGCGCAAACTAAAATTAGTTTACAACTACATTTTATGAAAATCATTGTTTATATTAATTATTTATATAATTACATATGTATGCGATAATTTTGTACTAAATCCAATAAATCCACTAAACCCACTAATCCAACTAAACCCACATAATCGAATACAGTTAATGCAGAACTGATTAAAGTGTCAAAAATGTAAATTATTCAATTAGAAATATGTAAGTATCTTTATAAGTGAACACGATAAACATACTGTTTGTTATTTTTATGTTTTTCAGAACCGGTATTAAAAGCAAAGTGGAAAGGGTTACGAGATACTTTTCGGGCGGAGTTGAAGAAGGACCAAGTTTATCGGAAAAGCAAATTTCATCGAAACAGACCAGTATGGATACATTTCAAAAGTCTGCAATTTCTGAAAGAACAAATGTTACCCCGTCCCCCTATTTGGGAACGAAGCAATTCTTGCCAAGATGACGATCGGGTGCCTAGCGAAGGTGAGAATGATGGAGCGCTGATGCAGAATGGTTCGTCGGTAACAAATAGAAACGTGGAGGATCGAAATACGATTGCGAATCATCTGTTGTCAATGAACAACGATAACGGACTAAAGATCGACGCCGTCAATCACATAGATGTAAAGCAGGAGCCCGAGGAGAATTTTGATAATCTCGAGTTTCAAAGTGTCTCCGACAATCTGACTGAAAACGAAATGATGCTGCAAAACATTTCTCCCGAGCAGGTGCTCATGGGAGACAATGACACTAACATCGGCATCCCGGTAGATCCTTTGGAAGGCAACCGTTTCGATGATAATTATTATTTCCTTATGAGTCTCTTGCCTCATATAAGAACGTTGTCCGCTGACAAACGAATGTTACTTAGAATGCAAATGCAAGAACTGGTTTATAAGGAAGTTTACAAGAAAAATTCGGATAGCGTTACAGCATCGTAAAGAGAGTTATTAAAAGGAGTATTTTTAACAGAGATATACATATAAACATACAGGTGTGTTTCGTTGGAGTCGGCTATAAATTCACCAGAATTGTTTTACATTATATCGAGACACGAAAAGCAACTCAGGCTTTATTTATAAAAATTAATCGAATAACTAGTAAAGTTGAACACGCGATGTTAAAAGGCTGGGGAGGAAGAAGTGTAGGTTTTGTTAAACTTGAAACAAGTCAATACTCCGTAGGTTGAGAAACACTGGTGCTTTCTCGTACCTGCGGGTACGACCGTGATGTTTAGTGTGATGTATATAAGTGTAGTAAACGTATTCGTGTATTCAGGAACATTCCTGTTTCGTTGCGCATGCGTACCTGTCGCGGCTCCTCTTGGCTGATCGTCTCGTTCGTTTTCGCGTTACGTTTCGGTTGTGCTTTCATTTAGTTTGTTCGCGATTGCTACAAGACGGTTGTGTTCATGTATCTGTCGTTTCGAATTCGATATTGTGGATTTAACTACGTGTTTTCGCGGGCGTACCTGTCTGCACCAAGGATAGTTGCTGTGACATTTTTTTCTGTGCGTCTATTACCTGATCATGACTTAGTGTGCACAGGTGTTTACCTCAGGTGACAGGTAGAAAGGTGCATCTGCCTCGGATTTTTCATTCTCTTTTGTGTTCTACAAATTCAAGCGTATATAATTCTCGTTCACTCTATTGCGACTGATTATTTCAAGCCGAAAAATTTCATCTCGTATATATCAGTGCAACGTAATTTTCCCTACATTTTTTTTTTTTTTTTTTTCGGAGGGTGGGGGACTAAATTATCGTTTGGTTCAAGGTGAGTGTTCAACGAACGAAACAACAATGCAAAAAATATCTTACCGTTTCTCTCGAAAATTCTCATTCTTTTTGAGACCATCACGAAACGTACATTATGTGAAACGATTATTAACAAGAACGAAACGCTGACAATTCCGCGATGAATTAAATAAAATTCAATATAGTATTTTAGCTTTATTCTTAAATACCAAAGTTTGTATCGATCCTTCATAGGTTAACAAATAAATAAGTTCTGTGCAATAGTCGATCGTTAAGTAACACTACGTTCAAGGTGGGCAGGATAAACGTGATATTCACATTTTCTTTTTTTATTCACTAACAAATATGATATTTTTAATAATGTTTCGTACGTGAAACAATATATGGGTCGAGTAATTGTTAGAAACAGATTATCGTCGTAACTGCAAAAAAAGGTTGAATATTCATGTTGTTTGTTATGAAGCAGATACATATTGTCTAAATTAAAAGAGTTTGTAAAAAAAAGAAAGAGCCGCGTTGCTTTCATCAGAGGGCCGAACGATGAAAAAGCTAACGATATTCCTGTGTCATTATAATTAAGGTTAGAGGTATCGTACGCTGTTGAGCGTTAAATATATTCTTCATCTACACTTTCGAGCTTGCTCTAAATAGCGTACTGGAATCTCCTGGCGATTCGAAACGCATCTACGCATTCCGTTCCGAGTGACAAGTACCTGGAAACCGAGACGCCAGTTACCTCGTGGATAATTTTCGTAACTAGTCGTAATAATGCTAATAAAGATCTTTGTATTCAAAGTGATGCCTCGTGTATTCATTCCACGTATCCGACAAAAATATAAAAAGGGTAACAGATAATTGTGGAAAATCAAGCCGATTTGGATGTTCGAACCGACTGTTTATTATAACGCATAACTGAAAGTGAAAATTTAAATGATCATTAATTATTTAACTGTTACGCAATCACTTCGTAGAGGAATAACAATAAAATATTTAATTTATATAAATGATCGATAATAGGTAAGGTCGAAGTAGCGAATCGTGGCAAAACATATGAGGTGAAAATCTGGAATCATTAAAATAATATTATGTTACCTACATCGTTTTCTTTGTCTAATTGTTTACGTTAAATTTGTTAACGTTTCTTTTTACATAATTTTATGACTACAATTTTGAACTTGAGAACAGAAAGATATTATTAATAATGCATCCGATATTTAGGCTAGAATTGATGATGTGTCTTTTGCCCAAAAAGTGTAACACATATTCCAAAATTAGTATTTGTATTAGTGGAAAAATGCTATAAGAAGCAAAATATTTCCAATCGCTTTTCAAATAGCAAGCAATATACGATGATAATGTGATTATTAAAATGCACTTTTACCGAATGATGTTCTCTTTCGTGATTATCTCTTTGACTATTTCAATTAGTATGGCTTCACTTACCGTGTGGTACGTTCAACACGAGTATGAAAATCGATTGAATTCATAACATATGATTGAGTACAAGATAATTCGAGATGTAGATTACTTTGTCACGTACTTTGTACAATATATATAAATATTACAAAACATTAACTTTCTTGAATAAATCAATTAAATTTTTCATTTATGCAATAAGCTTTAATTTAATCAAACATTTATTTAAAATTAATGGCAATCGTTGTTCTCTAATTCTTTAAAGTCCTTCAAAAAGATCACCATGGAACGAATATGGTTAATATGTATTTCACTGTTCTCAATCAATTATTCTGTTACTAAAAATATAAAACATTTGTTGCAATTATACCTGTTTGACATACACGTCCTTTACAAGTCAGTAGAATGAACAAAGTGCAGTCTAAAATGAATGACATTTTTCAAATTTTGTTTGAACAGAAAGAAAGATATTACTTGACCTTGAGAAATGCAAATATACCGTATATGTGATACATACGCGAGTAGGTATATGAGCATTTAGCTTATGAGTTGCTTGGACATTTCTTATATCTTGAGGTCTGACTCAGTGCACCGTGACTTATTGTTAGTGCGCTCGGTTCTCACGCTTTTCTCGGACTCAGCTGTATAACGTTGCATATTCATTAAATCGCATTCACACAGATTGTAGACTTATTGCCCCGTAAATTATATGCGAGATGTTCTTACAGATAAAAATCTCGTTTCGTTCTTCCCCCGGAGGAGAAGCTTTTGCCGTTAGTCCTCGGCAACGTGTGTTGAAAAGATAAAACGGAGAATGTGTTACATTCCATTTCATCTTTTTACTCGCGATCGGCTTCGCTCTCTTACTGTTCCCGACCGTCTGACTCATTAGAAACGACGTTTTTCAGTAACGACCGGTTCTACCGGCGAGGTAATCAGTGATCGAAGGAGCTCCGGCATCCCTCGGTTCTCGTTTGGTCATCGAGCTTTTCGCTCCAATCTGGACGATAACGAAGGATGGTAAGCTCCAGTTCGCCCGGCGTAAATGTCTCGCCAGCTAATAGCGTGGCTACATCACGTGTCGTCGTGTCTGACAGTGACGTAGCTCGTGATGGTGACGCCATCTTACCGAGCACCCGCCAATCATACCGCGCGGAGGACGAGGGTGGTCATGTAAACGGAGCTCCTGCTGCCGTCGAATGGAGCCAAAGCGGTCCGCCCTCGATTTCTATGTCGGTTGACCTGCATAATCTCATCAATCCGAATCTCCAAGACTCTGGACATTATTCCGCCAGTCCCGACAACGCCGATGCCTCTGCCTCACCTTGTAACGTTAAGTCTGCGAAAAATCACGAAGAAGAGGAAAGTTACGAGGCGTTTGGCTCCGTCGAAGGTGACGCTGATGACGGGGTGGAATCACCAGGTGGTAGCAGTTCCGCGCCTTCACCCACTGGCAACAGTTCTCTCAAGTAAGTTCGTTGCCCCTCTTCTCTATACATATACACGTACATATATATATACTAACTGTATATTGATCGGTTTTCTTTTTTGCATAATAATATCGATGGTACTTGTACTGATTTGAAGAAATCGACGTAATTTTGCGCGCGAGTATTTTTAAATACCCCAGTTTCCGGATGTGACTTGTAGAGGGTGCTCTGATCGTTCAACACACGTGTACTGTTCTTTTAGGAGAATAACTAGGGTAATTAGGAAGATAATTTTCATTTTCATTTTCAGCGTAGATTATAATATGGAGGAGCGAGATTATCTTGAAAAGTATTGTAAAAATTGTAGGGATAATATAATAAATATATATATATTTTTTTATTGGATCATCAACATTAAAAAGTAAAATGCATTAATTATAGACACGATAAATATAATATGTTTCACATGTTTTAAAATTTGTTTAAAGTAACAATTTCTTACATTTTGTACGAATATTCATTCGAGTAGATTTGTTCTCACGATAAAATCAATGCTTCGCTAGTAATATAATGTGTAGAGAAAAAGACTTTCAACGTCTTATTATCTTTCGCGCTTGAATTATTAATATTAATTCTTCGCGTTTTCTTCCGAACTATGCTGCGTTTCTAACGTTTCTTTGCGTACATAGAAATACACACACACACACACACACACACACACATACACACACATACATATTTATAATTATATCAAAGAATATACAACATTTTATTTTATTTTGTTTTATTTATATTTCTTGTATTAATTATCTTGTAATTATATTTTTTGCGATTATTAAAATTGAAATCGACGAGAACATAGTAATTAATATAAAAAAAAAAATTGAAATTTGATTTCAGAAGGTTTTGAGATATGCTTTGATTCATTAACTGTTATTCATAATTGAAATATACGTGCCCTATCATTCCAACGTGATACAGTGCACTAATTCATAGATAATGCTGATTGTAAAACATATATGTAAATTATTAATTTAGCATTCTGATGAACACGATATTAAGCTAATTTAGTGTTCATTCTGATGAGTGCGATATTAAGCTCATAAGTGTTATGCTTATGTGTTTATAAATAACTGAATTAATTAAAGATTAATAGTAAAATTTATCTGTTTAACAGTAGAATTATTTAAATTTATTTAAATTTCTATAAATCTAGTTTATTTTAAACATATGGTCCTCAAGTTTCTTTGTTCTGTTTTAATTAGAAATCCAAGAAGCCCCAATTCGACCATAGGAAGGCATTCTTGGTTACGAACGTCACTTAGGCGAACTCCTCCTTGGTAAGACTTCTTCATTTTTTTTCTTCTTGCGAAAATTCCAAACTTTTGAATCCTTCGCGGTTCGCGTTCTATCCGTATATAGATTTTAGTAGAAAAGTTTAGTCCTATATAGCTGCTTAAACAAGTTAAAAAAATTTAAACAAGTCTACCACTCGAACGGATACGAATTTATATTGAATTTCTTTCTGATGTTCTGATGCTTTGTGCGTTCGTACGTTTTCATCGTAAATATCAAAATATCGAACATTAAATGTGCATCCGTTTCCCTTTTTCACATTTCGATTTTCAAATTCGTGTTTCGCATTCTTGAAGTTTTTTTTCCGAGCCTCCGCAGATATGCAAAGCGGCACGGTTATATACATAAAAGATGAGGTGAATCATGCCGGTAATGACTGCAATAATTGGAAGAAAGCTGTTCGAACGTGGCGCGAAAGTTACACGGCACAGTAGTAAAAATGAAGTTTACGCACCGCCGGTACTATAATCGCTGGGTGTTTAGATCTAATTTGCCGGCGGGAGAATTCCCTTCTCGATCCGAGAGATGGAACAATGACGAGGCTGCCGTGCGAAAAAAATTGCCGTTGTGAAACCGTCTGATAAATCACGGTTGTCTGGTCGTGTTAATAGACCGAGGCAGATAAGAAACTCTCTTTAATCCTCCGAGGAAAGGTATCCGCAGTTATCTGCAAGAGGCTCTTGTTAAAATTTCATTCAGGAACATGTCTATAACGATCTGTATGACACGGAGGAAGTCGTTATACCAGAGTGGTATAGAACGCCAGGAACAATATTAAGTATACCGTACGCAATAGCTCTTTCCATTCTGGCATCCGCGATATTACGTCGTAAGAATTTTCCTAGATAATATATTTGCTTGACGAAGTCAGGTAATTAGTCGGTCTACGTAGTTGTAACGACCGTGTTTGTAATTTGTTCACCGCGTGACACGAGACTTGCTACAAATAAACAAGTTGTCGGCGTTCCTCGGTATTGTGTACAGTGCAAACGGTTTCGGACGATTGGAGCCGTTGGCTACGAGGAGGAGCCAAGTGGGGAAAAAAGGAAAAAGAAGAAAGCGCTTTCGCGAGTAGAACGTTTCCATTTCTGCGCCTGTTATTAAGTGTCGAAGCATGGAGGATATGTACAGGGTGTCTCAGGACCAGTGATCATACAACTGACAATGAGTGGGAGGTGATGTTTCGTGAAGAAACGAGCCGAAAAGAATGAATAAAGATTATTCGTCGAAGCGTTTCGAGAAAACCCAAGTTTAAAAATTGATCAATACTATATTTGAATTTAGCTAATTCCAAACACACGATAGAAAAGGATGATTAGCAAGAGGTTATTGCACGTGCGAAAATAAACAAAGAACGTGGAATAGAATTTTTATGTAAGATGCCTCGTTCTCGAGAGAAAGTCGAGTTTGAAAATTTATCGAGTGTATTAAGGCAATTTTCAATGAAAGTCTATTACATTCGAAAATTTTATTTTATATTTTTCACTTAGTTTTGCGGAATATCATCGATCATTCACTTTTGTGCAGCACGGTATTAACCAAATTGAAATAATTGATAAATTTCTCGAACTCGATTTCGAAGGCCTCGAGGAAAAAAATTTTAGTCTTTCTTTTCGACTTACATTCGTTTTTTTTTTTCCACTTCCTATTTGGTTTCACTTCTGTATATATCAACGATCTATGTACATTTATTGTCCACGTTTACATATATGAAAGATCACGATTGAAATTGCGCATTGTACACTTGCCAATGATATTAGAATAGAATTGATCAATCAGATATTCTTTAACGATTATAGTGCTAAAATAAGTAATATTTTCTTGGCAACGTTCGCTATTTCGTAACGAAATTTCAACCTTCGTCTATTCTAACCGACTACATATTTGATTCATTTATAGAAATTGTAATTTGGCTCGATTTCGAGATCTCACCCGTGGTGAACAGAACATCACCAGCTTACTCGAAAATTTTATAAATCTTCGAAAATTTCGTAACGTTCGTAATTTTGATATAGGGGCGAGTTAAACCGTAAAATCGGATGTACATAAATGTTTCAATGGAAGAGTAACTCTTGGCTGAAAAATTCAGTAACAGTGTTTTAACCGTTATGTTCAGCGAAAAGTTCTATTACGTAAGAGAATATCTTAGCATATTTTTCACGGTCATGTTCACTTTTTTTTTTTTTCTTTTCCAGTTCCGGAAGGAAGCGACTTAGTTCCAATGCATTAGCAAGGTAAGAGCGAGCGAAAAAAATTATTCCTCTGTAGTAGCAACTATACCACACTATGTTACGTAAATTGTTTCATTTTAATAATTGATAATTACAACAATTCTACGGATCGACGAACATACTTGCATTTGTACAATTCGTTATAGGCACTTTAGAGAGATGCCTCTGAAAAGGGTAGAGATATTTTTTATTTCATCATTGGAGTCGGCGTGTCGGCGTGTGTTGACGTCATGGGATAACAATAGCTACGATCCAACGCTGGAACTGAATTTACAATTCAGAGAAAGAAGTCTTAGGGTGTATTCAATGGATAATTTTCAGATCCTTTCACGACAAAACGCAAAACGACAGACTTTCTAAAGCGTGGGCACTGGCCTGCACACGCACTTCCACATCCCGTTTCCTTTTACGCTTCCATAAATGCTTTGAATATATGTTTTTACCTCATTATCTATATTTATCATCTTACGACATTTCATCGTCTCCAATGGCATTATGTGGCATCTCTTTGTCGAAAATATAATTGTATTGTGTGACTCTTCCAATTAACCGTCATCAATGCGTGTATGTTCATTTTAATTATACATCGGGATTGCTTATGTTTTTAAGAGAGAATGAATCGAATTCAATCATGTTCAAAATTTTCAATACATCGTTTGTTAATATTTGTCTCTTTTTTTTTTTACAGCCAACTTTATCGAAGCAGTAGCTTCAATAGCTCTGGTAGAAGCTCCAACTGTGATCCCGCGGACGATATGTACAGCGATGTCTCCCTCGAGGATGATGTCATTGATCTCAATCATAGAGTGAGTGTCATTAACTGTTAATTTATTGTTAGATCTGCTACTTGCAATGCCATGTTATATAACGCTTCAAGTACCTGAAGTTTCCACAATGCTCGATATCGATATACAATTTCCTTCGCCCGTTAATCATGTCAAAATTTATTCACGCGAAATGACGTTTAACCTTACGTTTGCTACCATCATTAAGCAAAATTATCGATTTCATCATGCAAGAGTATAACGTCTGAAATACCATCGAATTTGCAGAGAACGTATTTTAAACTCAATGAGATATCATCGGGGTCTTAGATGTGTGCTACTAATACACCCTGTCGATCGTCACCTCGATCAAGATCACCAACAGAAAATCCACCAGACGATGTCAGATTCCATCAGCAACATCCGGCACATCCACCACCACCTTACGCTTACTACCCACCGCCTTACCCACATTTGAATCCATATGGCCCTTATCCATATTATCCTGGTGGATTTTATACACCGTCCTACTGTAGCAATGATGTACCACCCCAAGAGACGAAAGGTCCCTCTTGGTTCAGCATTCTGTTACTGATCTTTCTGTTGGTGTGTGTCGTTAGCATTGTTTTCTATCGGTCCTTGTCCCATGAGATACGGCGAAGACTAAACGTCAGGCTGCCTAGCTTGCAAGTGCAACCAGCGCAGGTAAATTTGGCATCCGGTTGTTGCGTAATTGGCCTTTATTTTTATTCTTCCCCACTGACTGACGTTACGCTGTCGCGTAATTGCTTTGAAAGCATAAACACCGGGTTAATTGCGAATAGTTGCAAAATTAAATGGAGAATAGGTTAAATAGGGAAACTGTGGTTCAAGATTTTTGGGGTATGAAGTATAGTTATTGCTGAAAAAAAAACGCTTTCGATTGACATGAATCACTGGTATGAATTGGTGCAGTGAATCACGGCCCCGTTATCGCTAATGACTAACTTGCCTCTGCTTGTAATATGTTTGCTTTGGTAAAGATGTGAAATTCAGTGAACAATGATGTACTTACAATGATAAAGTTGAACTAACTAAGTAGATATTGCAAATAGAAGGAAATTAGCCCATTGTGACATTGAAATTGAGAGTCATTACTTTCACAGCTGATCTCTAGATTAATTTTTACATATATAGATTTATATACGTAAATAAATCAATTATTCTATAAATCTCAAATATTTTTCCTCTGGATATTCCACAATTATTTTGTTGATGTCGATGAATACGATTATGATAATAGCAGTAAATAATAGCATAGGTATGGAAATATTGAGGATCAAGTAAACGATAAACATAATGACATCCTCAATCGATCTCGAGTAGATGTAATTTAGTAAACAGAGCGTGTTTTAGAAGGTTAATAATAAATAGAGGGCACAAACGTTTCTCACATCCAGGATTATAATCGTGGGGACAGGGTCCTTTAAAAAAAAGCGATTTCCTGACCGAGCAGCCCCTAAAAAAAACGGTGATCTTTCTGAACCTGTAGACCGCGAAGAGGAAAAGTGATGCGAAACAGAATTACCCCACTGAATTTATTGTTTATTCTGATGTAACTGACCCACTCGATAGAGATTTCAATCTTATCTGCGAGGGATGCGAGAGCCAAAATGGAAATTACTCGAAGTGTATATGGGACAGAAGTAGAAACGAAGGTATCATAGAGTATTCGTCAGACAACAAAATCGATGTTGCTACAGATGTATCTGACACGTTTGTGAACGAAATTACTCGATCGGTCGCTTCTTAGAATCATTGAAAAACTGAAAACGAGGATCAAGCGATGAAGATTTAATTCGATAACGATCGAGCAAACAGCATCAGCGAATGATAGAAATCGAGCCTCGAATTCGTATTGAAATTCAAGAAATAAAAATTTAATAAGCTCGAGAGACCTTTCCCGATGTTCACACATTTTCTTAGCGCACATTATGCATTCACAGATTTATGAGTAAGAAGATAATTGTTGCGATAACCTAGGAAAGAAATTTTACGATCACGAATAGCTGAATGAATTGCATAAGAGCAAGGTAACGCATTTTATTAAGGCGCGATGTTTTCATTCGATGTAAATTCGATCGCATGAATCGAATTCCACGTTATTCATAGACCGATGTATTTATTGCAGATTTAATACTTTTTTAATGACAAATGCGACTCTCGAGTTAGAGGAATGCAATCGGAATACAGAACTGACGAAGTTTGCTGATTTGAATAAGTCAGACTCTTTGGATTTACCACATTATTTCTGCGTGATAATTAAAAGCATTTGTCATTTTGTTGTATCATCCATCTTTATGATAGTGGAGTGAAAAAAGTTGGTTTGTGATTTTGCATCATATTCCTCTTTGAGTCCTGAATGAAAAAAATGACATATATTTAACTTTCATAGGAAGACAAATCATCGTACAATCTTCTTTACTCTGTTGCGTAATGTTTACAGGATTTTTAATTACCTGCTCGAGAAAAATTGAAGATAAGAAAAAGTTTTGTGAGAGTGATATAATAAATTAGAAAAAATTATGATATAAGTTAATATAAATGGAACATGGTTAACGAAAACGTGTGAACAGCAGCAAAGACCAATAAAAAGATCTATGCTAAAATATTCGATCCAATTAATTTAATTCTTTCTTTAATTCAGAAAATTAAATTCAATCTACGAATGCTATAAATAAGTGACTTCTTAATAAGTTAGCTTAATGAATGTCAAATACACGTGTGATAAAATATAAAAAAAAAAAAAATACGATCGCTACACGAGACAATAAAATAAATTAGTCGTGATATGGTATATTTAACGAAATAAATTATTCAGGTATTGAAAAGTAAAAGAGAAATAGCAAAATTAATAAGTCTATCGAAAATTAATTAGAGATAAAGTATGACATGTGCTAAATTATCATCTGATGGAATTATTGGGTGGAGAGGTTGGCCTTTTATAAATTTTTTGATTATTCTTATTGCGATTGGTTATCTCGCATATGCTGTTTATAAAAAGCTGAAAGATTCCGGCGCAGCTCTGATTCCGGATTTGATGTAGAAGCAAAAATCATGTGAATTAATTTGTCAACGAAGTCCTCTTATTTATTCTACACGGTATTTACATCGCTCTGTTTAATAAGATTCATTGAATTTACACGATAAGAAATATTCTTCTGAATTCTATAAATCTAGTAACGATACTATCTGTAAATCTTTGTTTACTAAAAACATGAGTCTTTTAGTCATTTATTTATACATATATAGGATTTTTTTATAATGATAATGACATGTTCGTAATGGTTAGCGCGGCATCAGCTCTCAGTATCTCCCAGATAATTTTGACGTGAAATGTGCTTCGACAGTAACACAAACCATGTATCGTAAAACGATATGGGGGCGTATATTCTTTTCCATCAGTTATCAAAATCATTACGCAAATTATATATATATAGGTCGATAATGACATAATTATCACCAGAAAAATATGTTGCAAAAAAGAATATAATTCGTCACGTAAACATTATTCGGTAACTTCAAATTTTCTTAATTAAACCTCGAAGTTTAACTAAGGAAAAAAGTTCGCACGTATTTGCCCTCCTTATAAAAGCTGAACGTCGATGGGCAAGAAATTTTACGTATTCAAATTCATTAGATAAAAAGAAGCACGTGAAATACATTCCTAGCTAGCTTTAATTGGATTTCTAAAGTATGCGTAGGGGTGGACGAAATTCTTAGTTCAGCGTAACGTGCCACGTACGACGTATACGTGATTCAACAGAGTTAGTCGATACGTAGTATGGAGTTCACAAATAGCCTCTCGGCTACTCCCAGCTTACAGTGGGCGATTGAGACGAACGATTATATTCGAAGTACGCCTAAAGAAACGGATGTGCGCGTAGTGTTGTGCTCCTCTCTGTGCAATTTTCGATCATCCTTGTGTTTATTCACCGAGATTCGTTCTTCTCCACCTGAACACATGAAATTTGGAGGTTAGGTCGTTAGTGACGGGAAGGTGTTGTTTTGTCGGCCGTGGAATAGTATGGGTAGGGAACCGGCGTACCTTCACGTCGTTCTAACGGAATAATCCTCTGTATCGGATTAGTCAAAGAGGATGACGAGTTTACCTGCCACAGGCGTGACATGAGAGATCGCGAATCAGAATGGATTCGAACAATTACGATGAGCAGGCAGACACAGGTGCGATCGAACGTTACGATCGTGATAATCGAATAACTTCCGGGGAGGGGCCGTCTCCTGGACCTGGAGCCGGCCTCGAATATGATTTGTGGGAAGGCCAATTTCAATTTGTTGGACAACCGTCTTCTCGCGGTAGTCGACTACCTCGTCGTCGTGGTCCTCGACTTACCGAGCAAGTAAGACAGTAATACCGGTTATCGTTATCTGTATACGATTTGTTCTTGAGAAATGTAAGAAACTAAACGTATGACATAAAAATAAATTATATAGTAGATGTAATTCAGTAGCTGCGTAGTGAGTATTGTTAGTAATAATCTTTTTTTTTTTAATGCATTATCATTGCCATAATCGTAATCGATTAGTGAGACATGATATAATACTGACTTATTTGATAACAGAGGAATAGATAACCGTAATACAGGAAAAATAATTTAGATGTATCAGAATTATGATCTCGACTTGTCCCATTCTGAGTTTTTCCATTTGAATGAGCTAACAGATAGTGAGCATCGAAGTAATCTTTCGTAGTTGCGTTTAAAAAGTGGAAATATATATATATAATGTATTTAAAAAATGGAAAAAAATTTATATGTTTATATATATATATATATATATATATATGTTTATATATATATATATATATATATGTATATATATATAAACATATAAATTTTATACATATATATATATATATATGTATATATTATATATATATATATAAAATGAAAAATATGCGCTTTTCAAATTCTTAATTTTTGTTAAATGAATTTGAATGTCATGTAAGAGAATTAGCATTTTAATTTTTATTTATTTGTTGCAAACTATATGTAGATAAAAAATATTTATTTCGTTCATAATTCACCTTCAAAACACATATTTCAAATCCTCTAATGTTTCTAAACATTGCGTTAATACATATTTAAATAATAGTTTGACCTCTGAAGTGATAACTGATAATTATATTTTTTAAATGGAGCCAGTTGTCGTACGAAAAAGAAGTATTAATTTCATAGCTAAGCAAATTCGTATTTTATATATATTCATGTCTAGCGTATTATATAGGTATTCTAGCGTTGAAGACAGTGGTGCTTGTTGAGCATATGATACGAAATAATTTTAGATTTATTGAACTTACTTATTTATTGAAGTAATAATTTTTAACATATTATTTATGTTTCCTAATTATGTTTAAATTTTTTCAACAAGAATTCGTACAATATTAACAATGAATATTAATGGCTTCATTGAGAACCACTGGTTAATAAACGCGTACGTGTGCGGGCTTTTAAATGCGAAGTTATCTTTACCTTTGTCAATAGGGGTTTTTTTAATATTTCTATGCTATATCCTTTAAAAATTATTTTCGCACCTTCAAGTGTATGAAATTATATTATAGAAAATAAAAATTAAGGGATTAATTACAAAATATATTGTATTTTTCCAGGTTCAAATGATTCAAGAACAAATGCATGCTTTAGTAGACACCCAGTCGGTCGGGGAAGAACGGTATGCTAGGGTGAAACAGGAAAATGCTATGTTACAGGCAAGAATTTTAATGTTAGAAGAGGCTGCCAAAGATGCTGAAACAAGAGCCGAAGAAAGACTTCAGGTAACTTGACATTAACTATGTTGATATCATATAATGATTATTGTGCACTTATATTTATTATTATTTTATTATTTATTATTGTATACTATTATATTTGTATACTAATTATGATATTATATAATGATTATTGTATACTTATTTATACAAATATGAAATTTATAACATGATTATGTCCTAGGCCGAACAACGAAGACATAGAGATTGGGCAAGTCGGTTAGAACGCGAGCGACAATTACAATTAGAAAATTATGCCATCAAGTTGCAGGCAATAGAATTAGAAGGAACTAGTTTAAGGGATGAAATAGGAAGGTTACGTGAACAGTTGGAAAAAGCTAAAGCAGAGAAAAGTCGGCTAGAAAATGATCTGGAAGAAGCCAAAAGAGAAATAGATACTGTTCGCGAAAGTGAGCGGCAAACCATAAGCCGGGCTAACGAAACTCACTATCAACTTGAAGCTATTAGAGAAGAACTTTCTATGAAAGTCGAGAATCAACAAAAAATAGAGGAATTAATGCAAGAAGTAGCGGAACTTCGGGCTTGTAATAAAAGTAAGTTGCAATCAATATCGTTCGTGATTGATCTTGAAAGAACGTTTGCAATAATATTATAAAAATTATATTTCTTTTCGATAAGGTTTGGAGGAATCTCGAGATGAATTACAAGCTGCAGCGGCTCTGCAGGCAGGCCGTGAACTTTTAATGTTAAATCCCTGTAATAATTCTACTGAGAAAGGACCTAGTCTCGCTGTAGAATTATTAGCTGGCATGAATCAAGATCAAGTATGTTATATTCAAATATGAATATTGTTTCTTGTATTTTGTCTCTCTCTCTTTTCATTGTTTATGTTATTTACAGATGGACGGTCAGCTTTCCGGAGATAATGGTGAACTGTGTAGTATATCTGAAGTATGTATCAAATTAGAAATGAACATATATTTATGTACGTAAATTTACTTATGCCGATTATTAATTTTTCATTTTAAATTATTGTAGATAAAACAAGCTTTAAAGGAGCAACAGGAGGTCAATACGCAATTAAGGGCATACATTGATGGGATTTTATTGAATATAGTTGAAAACTACCCCCAATTGTTAGAAGTGAAACAAAGTCATTGAACTATTACATGAATAGACAGTTATTGAATTTAATGTTAATTGTTCAAGGCAATTGTACTTTGTTGGAATTCTTGATTATTTATAGATTTATACGAGCAATTTTGTCACAGTTATACACAAGTACCATATGGGAAAGCAATTTCCGTCCACGTGAACTTAAAATTTTAATAATGTATTATGAATATTGAATTAAAAATTTTCACTGCCATGTTATTATTTCGCTCATACATTTCTAATGTGAAAGGCAGTGAGCAAATGAAAAAGTTAAAATAAGAAATATATAAAATCTAATTAAAGAATTATTGTAAATTCTGCGTCGTCCGAACTTCAAATTCGAGGCCTTATAACATTGCCTTTATAGAAATAGTATAAAACTAAAAGTATAAAACTATCTTCACAGAAATAGTTAATGTATTGGTATAATTTATTATACATAAAAACATTAACTTTCTTTTCTTATAAGAAAATAATATAGTTGCATATTAGGATCATAAAAATTGTGATAGTAACAAAAATATCTATAAAATTTGATATTGATTCATTTCACTTATAAGATCTTAAAAATTAATGCTAAATGATATCGAGAACGTAATAAAGCGATTATATTTTACTACTTATAATTTCAACCTGCTTATAAATTCCATTTAATCAAAAATGTAATTTTTATTATATCATATAATAATTTATTATATCATATTTTAAAATCTTTGAATAAGATAATTATATTTTCAAAATTCTGGAATTCTCAACTAAAAATTATCTTAGTCAATCTAAATTTTGTAATTAAATAATATTAATTCGTTTTTATATTTAAATAAAAAAATAAGATTGTTCATCTCATAGTTTCTATAATCATTATTACAAAGAAAATATGACTTAATCAAGTTTAATTAAACTATTTTGTACATAATTGTTAGATACATTTTTACATAACAAAATATAATAAAACTCAAATTCGAGACAAAAGACAAAATCTTATTTCTAAAATTATAGTTCAAATAAATATAAAATTAATAAATAACACGTTTCATACTGTACAGTTTTCACGTGATTTTATATTGAAATATTCTTATTTATATAAGATATATGTAAAAAACATATATTTTACATTGGAATTGAAAAATTTATATAATAAGTAGAATATTATAGAAGAAATTTTGATAAATGTAGTTTATGCTTAAAATGGTATGTCACGATGTTCTTTGTTAAAACATGCCAAACTACAGAAATTAGGTTCATTAGGGCAATCGGCAGAAAATGCTGCTACTCGTTTTGTCTTCTTGCAAGAAATGCATCGTTGTCTTACTGGTATCAATTTACCTTCTCTTTTTTTAATTTCATGACGTTTTTTAGTGGTCATCATAATTTCACGAGATAAATTTTGAGAAACTGTATCCCGACAATCTGCTAAATAAATGACTAATCGTTTTTTGAACTCTACCAGTGAAATAGAATTATTTTTTATGCTATTATGCATTATCCAAGCATTTGTAACAGCTATATTTAACAACAGTTCAAAAGCTAATTTTTTATACCATTTTACATGTTTGTGTGATGAACATATCATCATTTGGTTAGAAACATCAATACGAGGCTTGCCTATGTTATAATCATGAAGAATTTTAGGTCTAGTACAATTAGATTTTCTTTTTCTATTAGTAACTGTTTCTACAGAATGTTTGGTAGATAATAATAAAACATTTCGGCTATCTTTCCATTTCATCAGTGTTAAACCAATACTATTTTCTTTTGCAAACATTTCTCCTGGTTTTAATTTCTTTGTAACCACTTCTCTAGAAATTCCACGGCAATTTTGTTGAACCATTCCTATTAAATGTGTACTTTTGGTAATTAATTCTTGAGCCAAGTCTATACTCGTATACCAACGATTAGTACATATGGTATGTCCTTTGTAAAATATATTTTGACAAAGTGAAATAATGGCATTTGTAGGGCTCGTTAATTTTTGATCTGATTTTTTGTTGCAATATGTTTGAAAGTTATAAGTATAGCCTGGATTGAAACATAATTTTAATATCTTGATACTATATTTGTATCCTTCTTGGCATATATATTTTGTCTTCAATTGTTTGATATAATCACGAAGTGGTATTACAAATTCATCAATATAAAGAATTTCAGGTGGATCGTAGTATTTTGTAAAATTTTCATTCAACGTATCAATAATTGGTCTGATCTTATAAAGTCGGTCGTTTAATAAATTTCCGTTTTCATTATTTGTGAAATGCAACATTTGTAAGAGCAATTCAAACCGATTTCGAGACATTATGGATTGTGGGAAACTTTGCCCATATATCTTACTCTTGGACCAGTATAAATGTACCTCGGGTACTATTACTAAATCCATCCAAATGAGAAGACCAAAGAGTCTCTTTATTTCATTTTTGGTGGTGGGAACCCATTGTTTCCAATAATTGGATTGTTTTTGCGATAATACTTGCGTTGCATATAAATTGGTCTGGTTTGCTATTTCTTGAAACATTTCTTCTGTAACCAGCAGCAAGTAAAAATTCTCTTCTTTGTTTGGATCACATTTAAATGATTTCAATCCAGGCACACCCACGAAGGGTTTTATATTAGGTTGATTCCCAACTGAATCCATCCATTCTTCGTCTTGCGAAGTGAAGTTATCATTAATGTCAGGTCTATTACTGTCACTTTCATTAGAAAATATTGAATAAGACATAGAAGTTGATGCATCGTGATCAGTTTCACTCGATGTGAAATACAATAATCTGTCTGAGGATGTAATTTGCAGTTTAGAGTAAGGTCGTACATTGGGTGAGAATTGTAATTGAGCTGATATATTATTGGAAATGTCTGTTTCTTGCATTCCTATACCGAATTTGTGTATAAATTGGACACAAATTGGAAATTGGCCTACAAATAAAATTAAAATTCATGAAATTATAAATAAAAGAAAGTTTACATTTTCACATACCTGTTATGTTTTTTCTATTTGATTCCAGAAAATATCTTCAAATTAATATATATATTTTAAAAGACATTTTACAGTGCAGTCAAAGTTATACTTAATTTAGTTTCAAAATACTATGATTTACTATTTAAATATATGTACGCTTTTAATTAATAGGTCCAATGACTAAAAATTGGCATTAATACCTATATATTATGGTCAATAATACAAACTGTGATAACTATCGTTAGCTATACTTGCTGTATATGTTACAATATAAACGAAATGTTATAACCATAGACTCGTAACGAATAGATCGATCATTTTATATAAATTTATGCCGCACGGTCTACGAGCATCAACAAAAGACAGAATAGACATGACACCTTATACAGTTTTCTGTTACATATACTGAAATGCCAACTTAAAATATATGTTTTCCATTTTTATCGTCATTTGCGACTTATTATGTTTATTAAAAATAAATTATTAAATAATTGCGTTTCTCTCTGTTTTAACATCTAAATTTCTTCTCGTTAACAATCGTCATATTGCAAAAGTGTATTGAAATTACAAAATATAACAAACTTGTGCATTCTTACGACTCATTTGCATTTCATGCGTGTTTATTTTGTGATTGATACTTTTCATGTGTGTTCACGTTCAATTTCAATCTAAATAATGAATATAATTCGCGAGAAATTAAGTATCATTCAAACAAGTATTCCGATCCATTAAACGAAATTGGAGAATTTTAACATATTTTAAAGATTAAATGAAACACAACGAAAGCTACGAATTTTAAATGGACAACAGAATTAGTGGAGTCTCATTTTTGGCATAGTGGCGCCATCTGTTGTAGTCAATGACTTGCATACGAGGTCATTTGTTGTTATAACTCATTAAAAATTAATGAATTATTATTTAAAGTTCAATAAAATGGCGAAAATAAATCGTGCAGCTAGTTTCAAGAGCTCACTGCAAAGATGAGATTTCAATTTTCAAAATCATGATTGACCTGATCATGAAAAAAAGAATTTGTGTGATGAAAAAACTTCTCTTCGGCGAGATGTTTGAATTTTTACAATTTTCGAAAAGAAAAGTATTCTTACATTTTTACATTTGCTGCATGATGTAAAAATAAATATCTCTGAACGAAACAAACTCGGAAGTGTCAAAGTGGAGACTTCACTCTTTAAAATAAAATTAATCAAATTAATTGTTTTATAATTTCTTTTCACGAAGTTATATTTGAAGTATCGACAATTTTTCATCTAGTGTATGAATACTTTTGTTCTTTTTTAAGGATTTCTCATGAATTTTGTGTGTTTGATTGACCAGAAGTTAACATTTCGTGCGAAATGCGCGCGTATTGAATTGAAATTATTTAATAATTACAGCGCCAACGGTGGAATACGCAATACACTTCCTACGATTCTTGAACTCGAAATCGATATTTCTCATGATCGAGTTTTACCGGGAAGTGGCGGTTAAAAATGGCGGAGAGAAGCACACCTCGTCTGTGACATCAAGAAAATATTATCCAGAAAGAAATATCACCGAGAAGTTTTCAAGCAAAAATTTAAATCAATAGTTGTTAAATTTATGTTTGTGTTTGAATTTTTAAGATAAAATCTGCGTTTTTGACTCCAACTCAAGGTATGATTTAACCAAATAATTATTACATATAATTTTTAACAATTAAAGAAAGAATCGCATATAAACATTTAGACAGACATACTATGCTAAAAGTTATAATTTTATATCAAAATTTCGATTCTAACCATTACAAATATTGTGACCTTCTAATATGACTACTTTTACTTCTATTGTAACAATTTTCACTCATTTGTTGATTCTTAACCTTATATTACATAATTCTTAACAATTCCAGTACTAAATTCAACAATAATTTATTGAGGATGTACGTATATAATAGCTAAAATAATAATTCTGTCTAACATAATAAAATTTCTCATGTCTTAGTTTAAAGTATTGACAACCTTTCAGCAAGTGTAGGAATACTTTTGTACTTTAAAGAATATCTCATGAATTTTGTGTATTTGATTTAGATTAAAGTTTTTTATTTTTTATTTCAAGTTATCATTTCGTGCGAAATGTGCGATTACAGCGCCAACGGTGGAATACGCAATACACTTCCTACGATTCTCGAACTCGAAATCGATATTTCTCATGATCGATTTTAAACCGAGAAGTGGCGGTTAAAAATGGCGGAGAGAAGCACACCTCGTCTGTGACAACAAGAAAATATTATCTAGAAAGATCATCCAGAAAAAAGTATCGAGAAGTTCTCAGGTAAAAATTTTAAATCAATAGCTGTTAGATGTGCGTTTGTGTTGTGTATTTTTAAGATAAAATTTGCATTTTGGCTTCAACTCATCGAAATTTGTCATTACCGAAAGCAGTGCATAATTTTTATTCCTTTAAATAATTATTACACATAATTTTTGACAACTAAAGAAATAATGACATATAACACTTAAACAGAATATACTATGCTAAAAGTCATTTATAATTTTATACCAAAATTTAATTTCAATTCCAACCAGTAGAAATATTGTAACCTAGTTATTGACTAAGTCATTGTTACATGTATATATATATATATATATATATATATTTTATTATATGCTTTTACATACTTATAATATTTTCTACTTATTTGTTGATTCTTCAATTTGATACTGCGTAATTCTTAACAATTTTAATACTAAATTCAACAATAATTTATTAAGAATATACTTATTTAACAGTTAAAATAATAATTTTATTATTTGTGATATAAAGAAGTTTTTCATTTCTCAAATAAAGTAAGGCCTTGGGGCTCGAATTTCAAAATAACACGAGCACAGTATTTATGTTCGTCAATGTTATCGTGCCTGGTCGTTCAAGTTCATCTTCTCCCCTACTACTTTTCCATTTGCAGGACGAGAAGTGTCGCGGAGAGTCATTTGGCTGTCGAATTTCATAACAACGACACGTATTACGTCACATTAGGTTCGTAACTATTTCTAACCTATCGAAAGCGTCTCTTCGATGGTGTCGCTTCTTCGACATACTTTTATTTCCATTTGTACTTCATTAATAGTATCATTTAATTAATACGCATGTGTTTATTGAGCATCACGATAACGAAATCATGTAGTGATTTGAAACTCTTCTTCACGCTAATCATTGATTTCACTCGTACGGTTACCGGTCTCGTACGTTTTTTCAGTAGAATTTGAAATTGATTATCGTTTCATTTTTACACATTTGCTTTCGTTTGATACATTTGTTTTAACTTTTGGTTTCTTTTGCAGGGTATCCCTTGATTCCTGATGTTGGGATAGAATACATAGATGCTACAATTATTAATGGACAATCTGCTATTCTTTCATGGAAATTTAATAACATTTTATTTGTTTTTTGGTAACATTTGATATATAATTTATACACATATTGAGATATGTATTTATACACATATGTGTATAAATTATAAAGTCGCAGTATGTAATTCCGTAATTATTTGAAATACGAAGATGAAAAGATAAAATTAATTTTTTATTTCGAATATATGTACAGATATATAGTTATATATATTCTTGTATTAGGTTATTAAATTCAAAGTTTATTATACCTGCTTTCTCCAAACGATTGTTATGCAATTAAACGATTCAAAGCAAGATTTCACACGCATTTTTAATGTTAATAACATTATTCCTTAAGTACATTTAGCTGTGAAATTTTGATTTGTGCAAACATTTTCGAATATTTATAATAATACGCGATGTGATATATTACTAATGTGCATTTAAAATACAATTTCTGCAAATAGTTATCTTTCATTTACAATATTTAGTATTGAGAAATACTTTATAATTTACAACCAATATCTGTAATACATACTAATATCTGTAATTCAAGTTTCTTTACAATTATTGTTGTCTTTCATTTACAATATTTAGTATTGAGAAATACTTTATAATTTACAACCAATATCTGTAATACATACTAATAATCTGTAATTCAAGTTTCTTTACAATTGTATTCTAGAAAAATAACATTTTCTAAATAAACGTATCCCTCACCTTCCTACGACCAATCAATTTTATTTTCAGATAATTTTTGTGACCGCGCGCAATGCGGTCAGTAGAGTCAGTGTTTGTTGCGAAATATTTTCATATTTTTCTCAGCAAAATGGCTCTCATTAAATTAAATAATCAGTTAATTTAAATAATAATTCGCGAAATTAGAGTCAGTGAGTTCGTCGATTGTTACTTAAACACGCGTGTTGATCTTTTATTTTTATTTTTTTATGTTTTTTCTTGTTCGATATTCGTTTTCGGTATTAGAGTCAGTGTTCAAGAGGATAAGGCCTCTTCAGGAAATCAAAATGGTAAGTAGTTCTATATATTGTACTTCAGTTTACTCAATTTTTCAAATTTAACAATAATGTTTGATGTATAATGTTTGATATTTTATTACAGATTTTCTACTATCTCCACTTCCCTTAATTCCTTCAAAAATCTTGGAGACAGATGCTTCAAAAAATGTAAGTAGCTTGTCGTATTTAAATTTTATCCTCTATAGTTTTCTTTTCATTGTCGAATGCAAAATTATAATTGTAAAGTAAATAATATACCTTGTCTGTGCTGAACAACTAAAATGAAAGCATCTGGTACAGTCCGATAGATGGCAGCATCCTGCTTATCCGTAATACAGTATAAAAAAAGTTTTAATTTTGCAGTGCATTAATTATACAAACTTACTTTCTTATTAAGACATGTAACGATAACATCAAAAATCGAAATTTCAGTAAAAGAGTGACAGTAACCGAGGAAGTAATTAGAATGTAGCTTGATGTTTATCTTCAGATATCTATCCAGAAAATAGTGTTTTTGAATGACGATTATTAAAATTAATTATAAAAAACACAATGAAAAGAAAGCTAGTAGAAATGATAAATTTTAATTACTCTATACTTGTATACTTGTGTCTTAGTTTTTAGAGAATATTGGTATTATTTAACATCTTTTATGCATAATTTGTCACTGTCGATTTATATGAAAAATTGTTCCACGGAATTTTCTGAAGAACATTCAATAAAAAGCATAACTTTCTCAACATTCTTTCTCGTGGAAATCAATTAAAAAAATTTATCGTTTCATTTGATCAAGCACGCTGTCTTTATATCGGCAGTAAAATTTTTTAATGCGTTCATTTTTTACTTCCTGACACTCTGCTTCATTCGCTTATTATTAAATGATAGGTATATCACCGAAAATGCGATTATCAGCAATAACATTCATATGCGTACGCGATAATCTTTTTCAATACTTCGTTTACTTCCGATGTTAGTTTGAGTCTGAAATTTCGAGTTTCCATAAAAGATATTTATTCCGTTGATGAAAAATATCGTTCAACTAAATCAAATGAAACCAACAAGAAATAACAAAAACTTGCTTCGATTGAATTTTTACCAAACGTAGATTTTAAAAGAATGTTTTCGATGGAATATTTACTTGGTATCTAAAGTGTTTATTTGCATTTATTACGAATAAATGACAAGAACGTAAAAATGTAATAATCAAAATAGTTGACGAATAATATATATATAAATCATAGTGACATATACCCTTTCCCTCGTGATCGCAATATTACAGGTTAAGATATAAATGTTCATTGTGATATAATTGTAGAGAATTCTATAGTCTATGAACGTTTACAAGTCGCGAATGTTCAACTAATATAATATAAAATACATGACATAAATTTCATTTCAATTATTTATTTTATATAGGTAATATTCTTTTGTACATCTACTTACACAGTTATTAATAGAGTTAGTGAATTGGCAAATTACAAGCTGCGAAAGTTATGTGTTTCACAATTTTACTCTAGACATTTTTGTAAAATAAAACTTTCTTTGAAAATTATTACGAAAATAGGATTGATAAACAATACATCACGGATTCATTCTGTGTTTATGGAAAATTTAACATAAAAATGTATAGGTAGGTTTATTAAATAAATGTATGGGTAGGTTTATCTCAACAAAACAAATGTTTATTTAGGTTTGACGTGGTCCGTCAAAATATGAATTTGTGTAAATAACTTACGACTTGCAAGATTTCATATTAATATTATAGGTTTCTCGTAACGAAATCGAGTCAATTTTACTGGGTCATTCGCATCGACATGTTCACAGTTTTAAATCTGAAAGAATGATCAAAAATTAGAAATTAATTAACCAGTGGTTCCAGTGTTCCAATGTTTCGTTCTTTTTTTTTTTCCTTTGTTTTTTCTTATCGTGAAAATGCTTCCTGGAATTTCCGAGGAAAACCGCAAAAATAAACGCGGTCGGCGAACGAATCGCGGGCGAGCTTACGCACGAACGTCGAAGTCGGGACGGAGTGCCGAAATGCTTAATTAACGCGAGTGGAGCTTCGGTGGCTCTTCCGTGGTAGAGCCAATCGTGTGCCAGCAAGTGATCGGAAGCCCCGCCTATCGAAAGAGCCCCGTTGCCCTTTTCCTCGTGACTACCGACCACAGTACGTACGCGAACGTTCACGGAGTGTTGTCGCGTTTGCGGTTCGCTTTGCATATTCGAGACAAGCCCCTTGCATTCTTCACGCCGTACAATTTGGCAAATCGCAACTTTTATCATACCCGTTCCGTTAACGTTCTCGTTGCAACGTAACCCGTATTATTCGTCGCTGTTTTTATTTTATCGTTCGTCAAACGTCTCGTCCGCCTTGAAATTTGAACTGATTCGAAATTCGCGAAATTCCCCCCCGGTAATATCGTGTGACAAAAAGAGAAAAAAGCAGTGCGTGTCGGGACAGAAAGAATAGTAGCATATCGTTTTGTCGTTTGTCGCGAAATCAGTGATCCATACGACCCGAGAAACATGTAAAAGGAGACACGGGTTGAAAAGAGGGGAAAAGAAAGAGAAAAAGAGAAAGCCGTCGTGTTCTGGAGCTACGGTCCTGGAACAACGATCGAGTCGGATCACGGACGACGGTTCGATCTCTCGATCTGTCAGCCTCGGGATCGACCGTTCGATGCGATTGCTCGATTGATATTGACGTAACGTAAGAATGCGTGGCTGAAACGGCGGACTTGGCTTCTCTCTCGGTTTTTTTTTTACCATCGAACCCTACCATCGAACGATCCAGCGAGAGTGTCCATCAGGCTTTTGCCAATCGAATAGCAATCGAAGATGCGGACCATCGGCACGGCTTTTTTGCTCGTACTGTTGCTGCTCGTCGCGTGGCAAAACGGCGCGCAGGCCAACTGGTGGTGAGTTTGTACGACACGATTGTTGTTTATGTCCACTATGTGCAGATAACATCTTAGCCCATGCCATTGAGAGAGGCTGGATCTTCCCTCCGACATACGTACACTCGTAATATACCCCTCGAGGGGCACGCCTTGTGTCGCGAATAATTTAAATAGGTCTCTGTATGACTCGCTGTTGACTGTATAAAAGACTATTTCTTTCTTTCTCTTTCTCTCGCTCTTTTTCTCTCTCGTTCTTTAAAGACCAACGTTACGTCGAACGTCTTTTCAAATGATAAGAATACTTCGTGGCGACCGCAACGTGTATTGTCGTGTAACGACCCAGCTTAACCCACAACATCGGCTTTTGACTTGACAAACAGCTTGTGCAATTTTGTTCTGTTTAACCTCTTGCGCTGGAATGACGTGCCAAGCACGTCGAGAATATTTGGCCCCAGTATTGCAATATTTTCTCAGTTTCAAGTATATTGAAATATAACGCAGATAAAACAAATGATAAATTTATCACTTCTTAGTAATTTCTATCCAGTGATATACTTGCGATAAATTCAAAAAGAAGTCGAATTATTTTATACGGTTTGGTCACTCGTTATGGTCCGCAATCAGTTGCCAGCGCAAGTTATAACCTCTTGCGCTGAAATGACGTGCCACGCACGTCGAGAATATTTGGCCCCAAAATTGCAATATTTTCTCAGTTACCAGTATATTGAAATATAACCCAGACAACATGAATGATAAATTTATCACTTATTAGTAATTTCTATCCAGTAATATACTTGCGATAAATTCAAAAAGAAATCGAATTACTTTATACGGTTTGGTCACTCGTTATAACCTCTTGCGCTGAAATGACGTGCCACGCACGTCGAGAATGTTTGGCCCCAAAATTGCAATATTTTCTCAGTTTCCAGTATATTGAAATATAACCCAGGCAACATGAATGATAAATTTATCACTTATTAGTAATTTCTATCCAGTGATATACCGATAAATTCAAAAAGAAGTCGAATTATTTTATACGGTTTGGTCACTCGTTATGGTCCACGAACCAGTTATTAGCGCAAGAGGTTAAATTGAAAAGACCGAGTGGCCAGTCACGCACTTGTTTCCTTTGAAATTGCT